GTTTAATGGGAGACATCAAATTAATATACAATATGGAGACATCAGAAACAGTTAAGAAGGTTTAAAGTATCTGACAGGTTCACGTTAAGAGATTGCACATCGGCCGGGCATGGTGGCTCATGCCTGTAATTCCAGCACTTTGGGAGGCTGAGGCAGGTGGATCACAAGGTCAGGAGATCGAGACCATCCTGGCTAACACAGTGAAACCCTGTCTCTACTAAAGAATAAAAAATACAAAAAATTAGTTTGGCATGCTGGTGCGCACCTGTAATCGCAGCTACTCGGGAGGCCGAGACAGGAGAATTGCTTGAACTAGGTAGGCGGAGGTTGCGGTGAGATCACACCACTGTACTCCAGCCTGGGCGACAGAGTGAGACTCAGTCTCAAAAAAAAAAAAGAGAGAGATTGCACATCAAGTTTCTAAGTCCTGAGATCATAAAATAAAGCTAAAGTTCAGAGGCAAATGAATTAATCTGGAATGGCTTCCTAAGAACAGTGAGTTTTTAGTGAATTTTGAAGTAAGAAAAGAACTTGAGTTGACAAAAGGAACTGGAAGCATTTTCCAAAACAAGGTAATGGCAAGTTCAGAGCTTTGTAGCTGAAGTGAACTGGGACCAGGTTAAAGTCATTGCAGTAAGAAACCATATGGGCACCCAGGAGACATAAAGGTCATGGGAATTTGCACGAAGTGGGGTGGGGAGGACAGAGGAGGCACAAGCGCAAGATGTAGATTTTGGGAACCTTCTGATTGAGAGGCAGGATCTTTCAGAAGAAGACAAAGCAGGGGTCAAGGCATTTGCCTTTGGGATCTGCTGAAAATTGGATAACAATACACAATTGGCACTGGCAGCTGGAGTATCAGAGGCAGCAGCTCCTGGCCGACAGACAAGCCTTCCACATGGAGCAGCTGAAGTATGCGGAGATGAGGGCTCGGCAGCAGCACTTCCAACAGATGCACCAACAGCAGCAGCAGCCACCGCCAGCCCTGCCCCCAGGCTCCCAGCCTATCCCCCCGACAGGGGCTGCTGGGCCACCCGCAGTCCATGGCTTGGCTGTGGCTCCAGCCTCTGTAGTCCCTGCTCCTGCTGGCAGTGGGGCCCCTCCAGGAAGCTTGGGCCCTTCTGAACAGATTGGGCAGGCAGGGTCAACTGCAGGGCCACAGCAGCAGCAATCAGCTGGAGCCCCCCAGCCTGGGGCAGTCCCACCAGGGGTTCCCCCCCCTGGACCCCATGGTAAGTGTCATGTTCCAGAACTTTTGTTGACTAGAAGAATCCAGGTGAATGTCCCAGTTCCCCTCAAAGGGAATACAAGATGAGTCTGGAGATGAGGTTAGCCTCAATTTCTATAGATGGGCCCATCTCTCTTAGGCCCCTAAACCAGCAGGAATCCTTCCCCAAACTCGAGAGCTTTGGAATTTTGTTCACTTACTCTAGTGTCAGAAAAAGGGAAGACAGAGCCAAGGAATGGCTAGATTATCCTTGTTTGTAAAAGTGAGTTATTCTTTGGGAGGCAGAGGCGGGTGGATCACGAGGTCAAGAGATCAAGACCATCCTGGCCAACATGGTAAAACCCCATCTCTACTAAAAATACAAAAATTAGCTGGGTATGGTGGCGGGCGCATGTAGTACCAGCTACTCGGGAGGCTGAGGCAGGAGATTGCTTAGACCTGGGAGGTGGAGGTTGTAGTGAGCCAAGATCGTGCCACTGCACTCCAGCCTGGCAACAGAGTGAAACTCCGTCTAAAAGAAAAATAAAAAAGAAAAGGCGAGTTGTTAAGCAACATTTTATACCTAACTTTCTCCATCTCTCATCTTTATTCTTAGGCCCCTCACCGTTCCCCAACCAACAAACTCCTCCCTCAATGATGCCAGGGGCAGTGCCAGGCAGCGGGCACCCAGGCGTGGCGGGTAATGCTCCTTTGGGTTTGCCTTTTGGCATGCCGCCTCCTCCTCCTCCTCCTGCTCCATCCATCATCCCATTTGGTAGTCTAGCTGACTCCATCAGTATTAACCTCCCCCCTCCTCCTAACCTGCATGGGCATCACCACCATCTCCCATTCGCCCCGGGCACTCTCCCCCCACCTAACCTGCCTGTGTCCATGGCGAACCCTCTACATCCTAACCTGCCGGCGACCACCACCATGCCATCTTCCTTGCCTCTCGGGCCGGGGCTCGGATCCGCCGCAGCCCAAAGCCCTGCCATTGTGGCAGCTGTTCAGGGCAACCTCCTGCCCAGTGCCAGCCCACTGCCAGGTGAGAAGGGGCCAAGAGGGGAGAAGGGTGAGGGAGAGGGGACCACATGGAGGGGGGGTGAGCGGGCAGGTGGGGGAAGAGGTCAGGTACTAGACTTTCCACAGTCTTTTTTGAACACTCTGGTAAAATTAGAATACAGGAGGAAAGGCCTCTCTGGCTGTCCTCCACCAGTCCCCAGCCTGGCAGCTGCCACCTTTGGGATGGTATTGGGGCCTTTCACTGGTGGGTCATGGAGCAATCCTGTGGCAGAGAGCATCTCAGTTGTAAACTTGAAAAGCAGCTGTTTGCATGATGATTGTCATCCCTTTGCTTATTCCTATCACGTTCAGATGCCCCATTTAGAGAGTCTCCTTTCTATCAGTTTTTCTCAGTATGAGGTAGAAGAGGGTGTTGGGAACAGAAGTTGAACATTGTGGGTACCTCATTCATCCACCCAACCACTGCATGCCATGCCCGGTTCTGTCTGTATTGGTCTGGGTCTGGAGCCCTCTCTCCTGCGCACTCTAACTGATTCATCTTACTTTTCTCCACAGACCCAGGCACCCCCCTGCCTCCAGACCCCACAGCCCCGAGCCCAGGCACGGTCACCCCTGTGCCACCTCCACAGTGAGGAGCCAGCCAGACATCTCTCCCCCTCACCCCCTCTGGAGATCACGGTTCCAGGAACAGCCCTTCCCCCACCACTGGGACCCTCCCCAGCCTGGAGAGTTCATCACTACGTAAGGAAAGCTCCTTCCGCCCCTCCAAAGCCCTCACCATGCCTAACAGAGGCATGCATTTTTATATCAGATTATTCAAGGACTTCTGTTTAAAAGATGTTTCTAATGTCTGGGAGAGAGGATAGGATGGGAATGCTGCCCTAAAGGAAGGGCTGGTGAAAGGTGTTTATACAAGGTTCTATTAACCACTTCTAAGGGTACACCTCCCTCCAAACTACTGCATTTTCTATGGATTAAAAAAAAAAAAAAAAGAGTAGATTTTAAAAAGCCACATTGGAGCTCCCTTCTACCCACTAAAAAATAACCAATTTTTACATTTTTTGAGGGGGAGTGAGTTTTAGGAAAGGGGAATTAAAATTCCAGGGAGAGCTCTGGGGATAGAACAGGGTGCAGATTCTGTCTCTCCCCAAGCCCCTTTTTAGTGACTGAGTCAAGGCCCCAGCTCCCCTAGCCCACCCTACACTGAGCTTATTCGAGTTTATTCGTACTAATGATCCCTCCTGCGGCTTCCTCATTGTTGCTGTTTTAGGCCACCCCAGCTCAGCCAATGATTCCTTTCCCTCTGAATGTCAGTTTTGTTTTTAAAAGTCACCTGCTTAGTTGATGTCAGCGTATGTGTATTTGGTGGGGAAAACCTAATTTCGGGGATTTCTGTGGTAGGTAATAGAAGAAAGGGCAGTGGGGGCTGTTCTCCTTCCTTCCCTGGGCTGTATCCATGGACTCCTGGAAGGCGCAGAGAAGGGAGCTGTAAGAGGATGCGAAGTTTTAAAACCTGAAATTGTTTTTTAAAGCACTTAAGCACCTCCTTATTATGACTTGGTGGGTCACCCCTTAGCCTCCTCCCTCTCCCACCAAGACTGTGAGAACTTCAGCTGATAGCTGGGGGCTCCCCGATGAGGACGCAGGGATTTGGGAGCAGTGGAAGAGGGTGCCCAACCTTGGGCTGGACCAACCCTTGGCTCGGAGCTCAACTCTGCTTCCTGCATTCCTGCTCCACGTCCCAGCTCCTCCCCTGTGACTGGAAGGCAGGTGTGCCTCCAGGCTCTGCACTGGTTCTTCTTGGTTCCTTCCACCAGGCCCTTTGTTCCTCATGTCCCCGTGTTTCTCTCCCTCTGCGTCTTAGCACCTTTCTTCTGTTCAAAGTTTTCTGTAAATTTTCTTTTTCTTTTTTTTCTTTTTTCTTTTTTTTTTTTTTTTATAAATTAATTTGCTTTCAGTTCCATCTTGTGGGTGCATTCTGTGTTCTTCTTACCTGTGGCTGTCAGGCAGGGGACTGGGATTGGAGCAGCTTTCCTGGAGTCCTTCACAGCGGTGTTTACCTGGGCCGCAGAGACATTATGCAAGCCACAGGGCCTACAGACACTGCGCCTCCCCACAAAACACGAACAGCAGCACAGATGTCAAGACTATGTGCTGGTATAGGAGCAGAGGCTCTCACCTGCCCTAAAAGCTGTTTAAGACTTGGAAGGACATTCCCACAATAATGGAATTTTGTATCTTTATCCCTTCAGAAGTAGTGGTTTCACTCCTTCCCTTATTAGGGAGGAGGCAAGCCCCTTACCTCCTTTTGTTGTTATTGGCCCTTTGCCCTGCTGAGGTGATGGACAGGCTTAGGCAGTGCTAATAATGGCCTGGTTTTAGCTCCAATAAACACTCCACAGGCTTCCCCACAAAAGGCCTTACTGGGAGCTTGGGAGGGCAGGGGCCAGATTTAAGGAGCTGGAAGGCTAGGAGAAGACAGCCTGATATGGAATGGAACAGGGATGGCTAGCCTTGGTCCTACCAGGATCTTAGGTAGGACCAATCTAGGTAGGAGATTTCCTAATCTCCCAAGAGGTAGCTTGTGTAAGATGGATGAATGGGGCCAGCAGTTTTTAAATGAAGCCCAGACGGCTAGTACAGGGGCTTCCTTCCTCAGCTTTCCTCAACCCCTGCACCATTGACCTTGGACTCTGCCTCAGGGCAGAAATCACCACCACCTCACCTTCTTCCCCTTTACCCTGTTCAGGAAAGAAAGCAGAACCGAACCGAGGGCCCAGAGAGCAAGTTTATTTGGTGAATGCTGACGGCAAACATCATCCAAGAGACAAGATGGGAAAGGTGCTGAGACAAGAGAGCCTAGGGAAACTTCAGGCTAGATACAAAATTCACACAGGGAAAGGCACGGAGTCGTGAGACTGGGAGGGTCCTCAGCCATTCAGCACCATGCGGACGAGCTCTGTGGAAAGGAAAGGTGGAATGAGCCAGGGAACCCGGCTGTGGAGGGGTACACCAAGGGCCAGGGGACTACAAGACTGCAAAGGTAGCATAAGAGGGAACATGCCCACAGCAACCAACCCTGGGGTCAGTTTGCAGAGGAGCCACCTTGAGTCTGACCAGTTCTCCCTGCCCCTAGCTCCCCTCCCACCAGCTGTTAGTGCCCCACCCCACTCTGAGCAGCAAGAACACAGCAGAGGCAGAAAAGTTCTCAACTACACCTACAGCTACTGTCAGCCACTGGCGGGAGGAGAGGACAAGAGTTTGGGTTAGGGTACCTCCAAGCTGCCCAGCGAGGGAAGGGGAAAGGACTGTTCAGCTATAGCAGCAGAATGGGGCAGGCAACCCATACCCCTCTATGTCAGCTACCCATGCTCCAGGGCCAGAAGGTCACCCTAAAGCAAGACTGGTATACAGGCTGGTGAGAGTTCCCAGACACCAGCACCCAGGGCCCTGAAAGTAAAACCTCAGGGCCCATTCTAGAAGTAAGGAGGTACCTTACCCCCAGGCTGTATTCCTCTATGAGGAATCCCTCCCCTCCCTAGTCAGCTCCATGCAGAAACATGCCAGGAGAAAGTCAGATGGTAGTAGGGTAAGGGCAGGGGATAAAGAGCACAGGTTGAGGAAAAAAGAAACACTGGGGAGATCAACTAGAGGAGGCTGGGAGGAGCCGTACCCGCCCCATGGGCCCGTCACCCCGACAGGATATGCCTCACAAACGCTGCAGGAAGGAAGAGACATTCATGGTGAAGACAAGACACAGACATGGGGTGAGGGGTCAGGCGGTGGGGACAGACATTCCATTATTTCACTTCTCATTCCTTCCCACCCTCTACAATACTACTCCTTCCTTTCCTGTTACACCCCCCTGACCTCCCACTGCTGGGCTGGGCTGGGCAGGGCCCTGCACCTTGCCTCCTGGCTCTTTTTGGAGCCCACGTCCAGGGATAGGGAAAGCCCCAAACACTATACTTGACCTGCCCCATGTGGCTGCGAAAGCGCAGTTCACCCCTTACCTTCATAGTTGATACAACCATTGCTGTCCTCGTGCCCTGCCACCAGCATCTCTACTTCTTCCTCTGTCATCTTCTCACCTGCAGGGGGAAAGAAAGCATCTTTGGAATTGGGAGACAAGTGAGGTATTCAGGGTGGCATCTCAGCTCAAGGACAAGGACACAGAACCTTACCCAGTGTGACAAGAACATGCCGGATTTCAGCACCCATGACGGTGCCATTTCCTTCCTTGTCAAACACCCGAAGTCCTTCGACATAATCCTCATAGGTGCCCTGGTCCTTGTTCTTGGCCACTGTCTGCAGCATGGGCAGAAAGTGCTCAAAGTCCAGCACCTTCACGTTCATCTCTGCCATAAAGGAGGTGGAAGTGTCAGGCCAGAGAAGTAACACAAGTTCTCAGGACAGGGGATAATAGAGACCTCAACTGAACAGAGAGATGACTCCCTCCTAAGCAGGGAAATCCATGGGATTTGCTAATCCAGACTTTTGAGTTTGGGGCCCGGGGAAGCTCTTAGCTGAAGAACTGTGGGCCCATGACCACACTGAGGAGTTGTTCTTGAGGCCCCTCACCATCACTCTTGGGGTTCCCCAGGACCTTGAGCACCTCGGCGTTGGTAGGGTTCTGGCCCAGGGCCCTCATCACGTCCCCACACTGGCTGTACAGGATCTTGCCATCACCTGTTCGGTCAAACAGCTGGAAGGCCTCCTTGAACTCTGAGGATTCAGATGAATGTCAACACAGGATTTGAGGGTTAACCCAAACCCTACCTCAGAGCCTGCTGCCCATTCAACTTTGATCATGCTGAGGAAACCAGATATCTGCACCAAACTGTACACCGAAGTGTACTTAAGAGGGATCTATTTATCTTCCTCCCAACTCAGGTGTCCTATATAGAGCCTTCCTCCCCCTCTGGCAGCCTGGTAACATACATTTACACACCCCCCTCTGCCTGCGGCAGACCTGCCAATCTCCACTGCTGCTACTACACTTCTCAGGGCAGGAATTCGCCACCGCCCAGTCTCAGTCCTGTCCTTATAAGGAAGTGAGAGCAGCAGCCTGGGACTAGGGTCATCCCAACCTGCCACTTCGCACCCCTCCAGTACAAAGAGAACTTCCAGAGGGTAGAGCTACAGTCATATCCTTAGCAAACTCCCCTGTCCTGTCCCCATCTGCACAGAGTATCAGGTCACTGCTCTACAGTCTTCACAACTGCAAGCTGGGAGGTCAGGGGCAGTTATCACAGGAGGAGAAAAAAGACAGAAGTAGCTGATTAAGGGACAAAGGAGAGCAGGCAGCTTTATACACCCTCCCCAGACCCCACACACAGCAGGCATTAGGTGACCAAGTTTTTTCACATACCCACACCACCTAAAACTCACCCAGTGCTTGGGACTCAGATCTAGAGTGGAAGGGGAGGGAGGAAGAAAGTGAGAAAAGAAAATGGAGGATCCAAAAGAAGAGAAAATAATCCAGGGGGTAACCTCATAGGGGTGCTAAAGAGATGATAGATTAAGATTAGAGGATAGGTGCTGGGGGGCGGGTGTCCCTCTCCCTAAGGGTGACCTCGGTAGGGATCAGAGATAACCTACCTGCGGTCTGGTCTTCGGTGAAGTCACACTGCTCAGAGAAGAGGGAAGTGGTCAGCATCTGAACGCCAATCCCCCGAGTTTCTATCCCAGCCCCACAAACTCCTGTTTCAGGCTGCAGACTCGCTTCCCCGCAGGATAGGGCCCCAGGCTTTCCAACCCCACCTCCAACCTTTCGGGTCCTCAGGTTCCCTTTGCCTCCTACCCCTGCCTTCTCCTCGCCCCCTACCCGTCTCTTCCCACCTCTCGCCCCCAATCCTGCCCATCTCCCAGGACCTGGGCCCCACCATCTTGACTGCTCAGCTCTGCGGGACCTTTTCCTGCAGTAATGGCTCCGACTCTCGGCCCAACCCTAGTCTTAGTACGTCCCAATGACGTCACCCTCAGCGGACTCAGCCAATAGGAACCGTGACCTGGGTTTATGCACATAATTGCTACATTAGTAATGACGTGGGCGGGGCCCGCTGTTCCTTTCTCCAGCCCTACCTGGGCACAGAACCGCTCGGGGATGGGAGTGGGGGGGGGTGGGGCACAATTAATCTGCGCCTCCCAACAGCAGGAACATTAGATGACTGGAAGAGGAGAGAGCCTTCTTTTCCCGCCCTCTCCTCCTAGTACCCTCCCCGTCTCCCCTTGCTCCCCCAAGCATGAAAAAAATAGTCTGAAACGAAGAGAGGAACCCAGTCTTTATTTTGAAACAATAGGTGGCCTCCTGGTGGCTGGAACGTGCTTCCGCCCGCGGGGCCCAGTGTCCGGACCCCACTGGATCTGTGGAAAAAAACGAAAGTTGCCAAGCGCTGGAGCCCGCGCAGCAACCGGACAGCAGAACGAACTCCGCTGCTTTTCTATGCTGGCTGAGAAGCGCGGGAGACTTGCCTCTTAAGGCGCGGTGAAGGGGTGGGAAGGCCCTACCTGTAGCACTCAGACGCTTAGGATGTGTTTCAAGAAGGCTGCAAAGAGAGGAGGCAAGAGGGGCTTCAGAAGCAGGCCTCTGGATAATACATCTGACTCTAGGTAATTCAGGGGTGCCCCCGCCCACACGCGGCAAGACGCCGGGCTCCCCTCCTCCCCCGGCCCCGCTCCTGCTTTTTTGGCCCCTCACCCTCGTAGTTGATGCAGCCGTTGCTGTCCTCATGTCCTGCCAGAACAGTCTCCACCTCCTCCTCAGTCATCTTCTCTCCTGAATCCCAGACACAACGTCTTAGTCCCTGCTTTCCCTCCTTCACTCACCTAGGCAACGCTTTTTTCCGAGACGTTGTTTCGCTCCATCTCGGCTCACTGCAACCTCCGCCTCCCGTGTTTAAGCGATTCTCCTGCCTCAGCCTCCCGAGTAGCTGGGACTACAGGTTCACCGCTAATTTTTTGTATTTCTGGTAGAGATGAGGTTTCGCCATGTTGGGCAGGCTGCTCTCAGACTCTTGACCTCAGGTCATACACTTGCTTCAGCCTCCCAAAGTGCTGGGATTACAGGCATGAGCCACCGCCCCTGGCTTTTTCCATATATTTTTGTAAACAATAATATGAACATAACAATTGTAATTTTTTTTTTTTAGTTAGGGTCTCCCTCTGTCACCCAGCTGGAATGCAGTGACATCATCATGGCTCACTGCAACTTCCACCTCCTGGGCTCCAGTGATTCACATCAGCCTTCGAAGTAGCTGGGACTACAAGTGTACACCACCACGCCTAGCTAATTTTTTTATTTTTTTGTAGAGACATGGTTTTGCCATGTTGTTCAGGCTGGTCTCAAACTCCTGAGCTCAAATGATCTGCCCACTTCTGCCTCCCAAAATGCTGAGATTACAGGTGTGAGCCACCATGCCTGGCCTTGTAATTTTTTTTTTTTTTTAATAGAGAATCTCACTATGTTGCCCAGGCTGGTCTCGAACTCCTGGGCTCAAGTGATCCTCCTGCCTTGGCCTCCTGAAGTGCTAGGATTACAGGAGTGAGCCACTGCGCCTGTCCAGGCCACGCTGTTTTTCTTTTTTTTTTTTTTTTTTTTTGAACTGAGTGCTTGCTCTATTGCCAGGGCTGGAGTGGGCCGAGGTGATCTGCCTACCGGTCTTCCCACAAGTGCCTGGGATTACAGGCACTCAGCCACCGTGCAGGCTTTTTTTTTTTTTGAGACGAGTTCCTCGCTCTGCTGCCCAGCTGGAGGTGCAGTGCCGGATCTCAGCTCACTGGCAAGCCCCCCTCCCGGGTTCCCGCCATTCTCTGCCCTCAGCTCCTGAGTAGCTGGGACTATTAAGGTGCCCCACCGTCGCCGGTAGTTGTTTTTTTTGTATTTAGTAAGACGGGGTTTCAACCGTGTTACCAGGATGGTCTCGACCCGACCTCGGGACCGCCGTTGGCCTCCCAAAGTGCTGGGATTACAGGCGTGAGCCACCGCGCCCGGCCTTTTTTTTTTTTTTTTTTTTTTTAAGACAGAATCTTGCTCTGTCCCCCAGGCTGGAGTGCAGTGGTGTGATCTTGGCTCATGGCAACCTCAGACTCCCGGGTTCCAGCGATTTTCTGCCTCAGCCTCCTGGGTAGCTGGGACTACAGGCACGTGCCACCATGCCCACCTAATTTTTGTATTACTAATAGAGACGGAGTTTCACCCTGTTGGCCAGGCTGGTCTCGAACTCCTGAGCTCAGGTGATCCGCCCGCCTTGGCCTCCCAAAATGCTGGGATTAGAGGCGTGAGCCACCGCACCTGGCCAGGCCACACTCTTGAGAGTCTCGCACCCTGACGATTTCTCATAGCCTCAGTCCTCAAGGGAATCCTCCCTAGTCATGGATGCCTCTTGCTTTCCATTTCACCCTAGTACTAGTGAAAGTATTGACTGACAAGGAAACAATTCCAGGAGGTTAAGAGACTTGTACCAGAACACACAACCCACACATCTCTTCCAAAACGAAAATTCAGATTTCCTGCCTCATCCCTTTTCCTCTGTCCTCTGGAAGGTACTTTAGACTCTGGAAGAGCAAGTCCTTCAGATTCTACCCCCACAGCTCTGACCTTCTCAGTCTCCTGCCGACAACCTGCAGGATAGTAATCCTCCTGCTGGCTCTGCTTATCTGGCCAGTCTTTTTTCTGGCCCACCCCATTCCCCTCTCCACTCTAAAGTAGTTCTGGTCCCCCTTGCCTGCCTCACCGAGGGTGGTGAGAACATGTCTGAGCTCTGCTCCCATGACTTTGCCGTCCCCCTCCTTGTCAAACACACGAAGCCCCTCCAAGTAGTCCTCATATGTGCCTTGGTCCCGGTTCTTGGCCACTGCCTGGAGCATGGGCAGGAAAGTTTCAAAGTCCACACGCCGGGACTTCAGCTCTGGAGGTTGGAGAGAGATGAAGGAGAGGTCACTGTAGTATCACATAGGACCCGGCTCCCAACCCTACCACAATGCTTTCATCCTGTTCAGCATTTAGGATATTTTCCTGCTTCTGTGTTTGACAGTTTTTGAAGTCCTGAGATCCACCTCATTCTTTGTTACCAACATTCAACTTTTGAAAACTAAAAACCCGAATTGTTCCAAGGGTCCCCTCACCATCACTCTTGGGGTTCCCCAGGACCTTGAGCACCTCGGCGTTGGTGGGGTTCTGGCCCAGGGCCCTCATCACGTCCCCACACTGGCTGTACAGGATCTTGCCATCCCCCACTCGGTCAAACAGCTCGAAGGCCTCCTTGAACTCTAAGGTATAAGGAAGGGTCAGTGTAGACACTGACTAGGAGTTCCCATCACCCCCAGACAGAAGGGAATTTCAGAAACTATGTGAACAGAACAAGGGAGGAAAAGAGGACTAGTATGGGAGGTTTCAAGGTCGGGACTGGGGTTAGGGGAATAGAAAGAGAATCTGACCAGGGGATTGGGGACTGGACAGTGGGCTTAGACCAGCTTCTCCTCACCCTCCAGCTGGTCCTTGTTAAACTCGATCTGTGGAAGAAAAAAGCAGGTGGGGAGAGATGACAGTTTATTCAGTCCCTCTCCAGCACTCTTCCCAACCAACTGGCAGCCACTTCTGAGGAGGGGCCCAAAGGGACCAGGCTGGAAGCCCAGCCACCTCAGTCCCATTCCCAGCTCTGGGACTTGGGAGAATCCCAAGAAGAGGAATTACAGTGGGGAGGGTTTCCTGGGAACAGGGTTAATCCCATGCCACCTGTTTCCCTCCCTCCATTGCCCTGAGCCCTGCATCCCTCACATAACTGGGGGCTGAACAAAGGCTAAATTTACCCCTGGCCCCCAGCTGTGATTGTCTAACAAGTCTGTCCTCTTCAGCCTCCCTTCCTGGAGTTCAGAGCTGCAGGCCTTTTGAGTTGAATCACCAGCCAGGGGCAGGCAACAGCTCTTTTCCCTTCACCTTGAAACTATCCTCAGAACCCAGATGTTCCCCATCTAAGAGTCCCTGCCTCCAGCAGGGGGTAAGTGGGTGTGCATGTGCTGTACACACATGGTTATAGGTTAGAGGGAGAGAACAGCAAAGACAACAGCAGAGTCATAAGCCTGGATGCTTCCAAATGGGGGACTAAGGGAAAGCCCCAATCTCATTCCAGGGTTCATTGATTCCCTACCTTCTAGATACCCCCTAATCCCCTAGGCTGTATCTCACCCTCAAACCACCCCCTCCAATTATCTTCACTTTCCAGAGACTCACCACCACTTTGGAGAGATCGATTGGAGGCTCCTGGGTTTTCTGAGGGGCCTGGGGGACAGCTGGCTCAGCTTTGCTCTTGGCTGGAGGAGCCCCTGCTGCTGCTGCTGCTGGCTTAGCAGCAGGTTTGGAGATGGAGGGCCCTGCTGGTTTCTTCACGGGAACATCCTTCTTGGGAGGCATGATGTCCGGTGGCCAAAGGACAGTGTGCGGATGGGGGCACCCATCTCTGTTTAAATAGCCAGGGAGTCTGGGATGTCAAGGGGCGGGGGCAGGGGCAGGGAGCCAGTTGGCTGTGGCGAGGATGAGGTAGAGGAGAGATATAACCGTCTGCCCTCACTCCCCTGGCCTCCTATGGTTCAGGACTCCTGCCCCAAGGTCTTCTTCTCTCTGTCCCCTCATCCCCAAAGGCTGTCCAGAAAAGAACAATGTTTCCTTTGGGGGCAGGGGAGGAAGCCAGGGACTGCCCAGAATGAGAGGTAGTTAACCTCCAGGGTGAGGATAGGATGCTTGCACTGAGATGGGGGTGGTGAGGCAAAGCAGGTGATCCAGCAGCTTTAGTCTTCTCGAAGGGTGGGGTGAGGGGTAGCAGTCAGGGAGGCTTGTGTGAACTGGAACAAGTTAAAGTGTGGTCTGGGAGCAATGACAAAAACAAGCAGCCCATCTGCCCAGCCCCTCCACTCCTTTCTGACCATGGCTTTGTAAAGAGCAGGGGTAATTAACCCTACAGTCTAATAATCCCTAATACTTGTAGTTCCTGAGCCCGCACCCAGCCAAGAATTGAAACTATTCACAGTATAAAGGAAGAATAGTCATAGAAACAGGAGTGTGACATCCCTCATTGTCTCCTAGTGCGCAGTGTTGTTTTAGGGGAAGGAGTGGGGGCAAAGATCAGGTTTAACATCTGCTACCCATTCTTCCATGGAAGGAACCTTCTTCCACAAGACCACTGTCATTCAACACAAACAAAAGGTAGGCCGCTTGCTGAACCTGTGGGGACCCGAGAAGGGCGGGCTCTGGGAGAAGGCTTAAATTCCCTAATCCAAGAGGATGTGGGCACTCCTATGGCCTCCATGAGTATTCATCCCACTACCAGGGGTATAATAAAAATCCCGACTCAGGGGCCAGGTCACAAACCTTGCGGGGGGCACTGGGAGAGAGTCCAAGTTGGGGGGTGTTTGGGAGTGGGGAGGGGTTGCGGCCTACTTTTGTTCTGGGGGAAATTAGGAAAGGATTTAGGTAGCATTCTGAGGAAGATAGCAGTGACTCCACTTAGGCCCCGGGGTTGATGCTGGGTCTCCCATTCGCAAAACAGTGTCTGAATCTCATTACTGCAAACTGTCCCATTTTTACAAAATACATCACACACAGACACACACACACACACACACTCACACACACCCCACTAAACCTTAAAGAAAGCAGCCCTCCTCAGCCCCCAAAAACTCACCCTGCGGGGTCCGCGTCTGTGGCTGGGGAGGGGGCGGTGCACAGCGCGGCCCCCAAGCCCTGAAGGGTTAATTCCGACGGCCGCGGAGCATGCCGGGAGTCGTAGTCCCCAGTGGGCTCACGGGATACGCCGCGCTCTAGATTGCAGCTGAGGCTAGGGCGGTGGCTTCCGGCCCATGGCGGCGTTTGGTGACTCAGTGTCCTTCCGTGTCCCGGAACTGAAAGGCAATGAACAATTTCCAATCCACCCCAACCCTAAAACCCTGCAGGGTCCCTAGGGTATCCCTCCTACTTAGCCCTGGCGGGCTCCTAGTCTCGGGAGGCGGTGGCGGGGGGGGCGGGGGGGAGCGGGGCAGGTGTTTTCCTGGACCTACTGCTGAAAGAACTCCGAACCAGGGGAAAGGCTGAGGCTGCGGCGGGGGGGGCGGGGGGGAGCGGGGCAGGTGTTTTCCTGGACCTACTGCTGAAAGAACTCCGAACCAGGGGAAAGGCTGAGGCTGCAGCAGGCAGCGTGGAGGTCAAATAGCTGGAAGCACTTACGGCCCCAGGGAGAGCGGCTGCGCTCTTTTTCGCTTCCTCTTGCGGTTTGGTAGGGAAAAAAGAGGCCTCAGAGTAGTTTGTTTTTAATGAACTGGTTGCTGAAGTAAATGTTAAAATTTGCAATTAAGCCCAGTCACCTGCCCCAGCCTTCTGATCGAGGTTTCCATCCTGCGGCCGCATATGCGCTATCCTCCCCGGTCTTCATAGGTTCCTGAGCGGAGGGCTGGGCTTTCCAGACCTACTTTCTGAGACACTTATGGTCAGCACTGGAGTTTACTGGTTCCCCTAGGCGTTGATCAGAGAATGGGAACCAGCCCGGCCGGGCCCACCTTCATTCACTGGATCAGTAAATACACTCGCGGTGCACCTGGTGTTGGAGGCTGGGGCTGCACGGGCATGTGAGGATTCGGTCAGAGCAGAAAACTCGGGCGAGGGCAGGGTGGTGAGGCACAGGTGAACTTTATGGGCAGTAAGTAAGGTTCACTGGTTCGGGAAAGTTTATTGGAAAGGTAGAAATGAATTGTACGACAGAAATAACGATGATAGTAAGTTAGCAACCATTTCTGGAGGCCACCATAGATCTGGTACCGATGAAGGGGTTAAGTTATCTCAGAGGGTGCTCAAGTGCAAGGGGTTCAGACGAGCCTGCTCATATTTGAATCCTGGTTCTACCAGGTGCTGGTTAGTGACCCTCAGCAGGTTTAGTTGTCTCTCCTAGGCCTCAGTTCCTCATCTGTAGAATAATGATAATGGTACCTACCTCATAGGGCTCTTAGGAGGATTCGAAGTGTTATTATTGGTAAAATAGGGCCGGGCTTGGTGGCTCACGCCTGTAGTCCCAGCACTTTGGGAGGCGAGGCAGGCTGGTCACCTGAGGTCAGGAGTTCGAGACCAGCCTGGCCAACATTGTGAAACCCTGTCACTACTAAAAATACAAAAAAACCAAAAAAATAGCCGGGCGTGGTGGCAGGTGCCTGTAACCTCAGCTACTTGGGAGGCTGAGGTAGGAGAATCACTTGAACCCGGGAGGTTGCAGTGAGCCGAGATTCCACCACTGCACTCCAGCCTGGGTGACAGAGTGAGACTCCATCTCAAAAAAAAAAAAAAAAAAACCACAAAGTTTGTAAATTAGGAATAGGCTGCACAGCGTAAGTGCTGTATAAGTGTTGTATAAATTTAAACTTTCCTTTAATTTCCCAAGGCATGAGGTCGACTTATATTTTACCCATTTAATTATCTTATTCTAATGAAGTGAGGACCCAATAGGTGTTGTGAAGAGACTGGAGATGGAAGAAGAGAATAGACATTTTTAAGTGTGGTTAGTAAGCTGGTGAAAGGGCCACATTTTTATTGGATGGCCCATTGTGTGGCTTCTATCACTCTTGCAGACAATTGGTTTCAAAGATATGGCCCTTGTAATTTTTTTTCTTTCCTTTTCCCACTTTTGGCATTTTGCCAAGTATGAGTGGTTATGTCATCAGCTGACTTTCTAGCATTTTCTTTTCTTTTTTTCTTTTTTTTTTTTTTGAGGCCGGATCTCACTGTGGCCCAGGCTGGAGTGCAGTGGTGTGATCTCAGCTCACTGCAAGCTCCGCCTCCCGGGTTCACGCCATTCTCCTGCCTCAGCCTCCCCAGTAGCTGGGACTACAGGCGCCCGCCAACACGCCGGGCTAATTTTTTTGATATATTTTTAGTAGAGACAGGGTTTCACTGTGTTAGCCAGGATGGCCTCGATCTCCTGACCTCGTGATCCGCCCGCGTCGGCCTCCCAAAGTGCTGGGATTACAGGTGTGAGCCATCACGCCCGGTGACTTTCTAGCATTTTCTATAGAGAAGTAGTACAGGGAAAAAACATTAAGACCCTTGGAGAGATTGGAAGGCTATCCTTCATTTTCTGTGCCATCCCTGTCTTGATCATAAATAACATAAACTGGACTAAACGTGGTCTTAACTGGGCATAGGGTGATTATATATGTGAATTATCTGTGAGAAATGCCTGTCTCTCCTATCTTCCTTCCCTACTTAGCATGTTAATTGCGTAAGTGCTGTATAAGTGTTTGTTAAATAACTTTCCTTTAATCTTCCCAAGGCATGAGGTCGCTGATATTTTACCCATTTTTACATCAATGAAGTGAGGACCAATAGGTGTTGTGAAGAGACGGAGAGGAAGAAGGAATACATTTTTAAGTGGTTATAAGACTGGGAAAGGGCCACATTATGGATGCCATTGTGTGGCTTCTATCACTCTTGCAGACATTGGTTTCAAAGATATGGCCCTTGTAATTTTTTTT